TTCACTGTAAGGGTGGCCAGAGCCTGGAATAGGCTTCCCAGAGAGGTGGTGCTCTCACCTTCCCTGGAAATCTTCAAGAGAAGACTGGATAGGCACCTGGATGGGGTCTTATGACCCCTGCCACCCGCAGTGCTCCTTCCTGCCCATGGCAGGGGGGGTGGACTCAATGATCTGTCTAGGTCCCTTCTGACTCATTGATTCTATGATTCTATGGTGTTTCATTTTGATCATGGAAAAATGTGGCTTCTTTTTTAATCTGAAAATTAAAACTGACACACCATACACTAGGCAGACAATGAGACAACATATCTTATACCCATGGGCTAAGGCAGGAGGTATTGACCTTCGTAGATAAGATAAGTGTTATTTTATCTACAAAGCCTGGATGTTGGCAGTGTTTCAGTGGTGGGGGGGCTTCTGCACTGTTTTGGCAGTGGGGATGGGGAATGGGCTTTAGAGGTGTGGCAGCAGGGAGAAGTGATGGCTGGGTCATGAACACCAGCCTACCACAAAACAAGCCATGTTATTTCAGCTTGCTGCTCCTAAAGTTTGCAAACCCCTGAGCTAAGAAGCCAAGAGAATGCCCCATCAAAGCAGTCTGTACGAAAATGAGGAGCAGCTGCTCTTCCATGAGGCTGAACAAATGACTTCATACATGAACTTGTTGCAAAAAAAAAAAAAAAAAAAAAATCCATTAGCATAGTGGGTTGTATTAACAGGAGTGTCACTTGCAAATCAAGGGAAAGATTCTTCTGCTCTAGTTGGCACTGGTGAGTCTTGCACTTCAAAAAGAATGTGGACAGATTGGAAAGGGTCTAGTGGAGAGCAACAAAAATGATTAGTGGCCTGGGAAGCATGACTTATGAGGAAAGGCTGAAAGAACTAGGGGTATTTAGTTGAGAAGAAAAGATGGAGGGGGGGATTTGATAACAGTGTTCAAATACCTGAAAAGAGGTTAGAAAGAGTATGGAGATTGGCTCTTCTCTGTGGCTGTAGGGGCAAGACTAAGAACAATGGACTCAAACTGAACTTCTTTTCTGACTATGAGGGTGATAAGCATTGGAACAGGTACCTAGAGAAGTGGTGGAATGTCCATCCCTGAAGATGTTCAAAATCAGGTTAGAAACACTTAGTTTACTGGGATGGTTTAGAAAGGTAGTTAGCTGTGTTAGTCTGAAGACAGGCAGAAGGTAGGGTAGATATGCACCTTATAGACTAAGAAGATGTATATATTTCATAGATTTCATAGACATTAGGGCTGGAAGGGACCTCGGAAGATCATCGAGTCCAGCCCCCCCTGCCCCAGGGGCAGGAAGTCAGCTGGCATCACAGGATCCCAGCAAGATAAATGTCCAATTGACTCTTAAAGGAGTCCAGAGTAGGTGCTTGCACCACCCCTGGCAGCAGTCTGTTCCAGGTCTTGGGGGCTCAGATTGTAAATAAGTTCTTCCTTATGTCCAGCCTGAAACGGTTTTGGAGAAGCTTGTTACCATTCGACCTTGTCATCCCGTGGGGGGCGCTCTGGTGAACAGGTGTTCCCCCAGATCCTGATGCACACCCCTGATGTACTTACAGGCGGCCACCAGGTCCGCAAAGCCTGTGCTTTTCCAGGCTGAAGAGTCCCATACCTCTCAGCCTCTCATCATAAGGCCTGTTTTCCTGCCCTCTGATCATGTGTATGGCTCTCCTCTGGACTCTATAGAGCACAAGTTTTCGTGAACTCAAGGTCACTTCCTCAGATGCTGTGAAAGGACAGCAGAGAGCAGTGTGCAAAGTGGGGGTGGGTGGGATGGTATAGTCAGGGATGATTATGCCTTGACTGGCGGGGGGTTGGACTACATGACCTCCCATGGTCCCTTCCAGCTCTATTCTCCTATGACCCTATACACCTCTAACTATGAGCAGAGCTTGTGTCTGGTTACAACTCATGCACGGATGCCAGCTTGTGGGTCCTGTCATTGCCTTCTTAAAGTAATTTGCCACATGCAGGGAATTCCCACCCCTTCCCCTCCCATCTGCACCCCCACTGCTGAACTAGAGCTGAGGATGAAATGGCAGAGCAAGGAAACTCAAATGATGCTTTAGGGGCTTCAGTTAAAATACAACAAGGACGTTCTCAAGGAAAAAGGGGTCAGCTAACAAGCACACTGGCTGGGAGGTGGAATCAAATCTCCAGTTGCCATCCAGAATGAGACCCTGTTCTAGGGCCTGGACTTATTTTTAGAGACCCGGTTTCAAACAAACAGTGTGAAAAACCCCACCCAGGAAGAGCAGCCACATCCTTTCTCTGTGACAGCACTTCTTGACGCTAGAGCCACTGATGTCCCAGGGGCAGGATACCTACATCTGCCTTCCTGTGGGTCATGCGCTTGCACCTGGTCATGGGCCCTGCTGGCCCTGTCTCCCAGTTGTCTCCCAGTGCCACTACAGCTGCCGTGAGACATACACGTGTGCCTCACTGCCCAAGGCCCTGCTACAGAACAGATGCTGTGAAGGAGAGATTGAGGTAGTGTTGTAGTAGAGTCCAGCTCATGTCTGGAAGGATTACATCCTTGCCCTTTAAAACAGAAACCAGGTCTTACGTAGGATGCTTGATAGCAAGCAGCCCAGATGACACTGCGCTCCAGCCATCACTATGTACGAGTGCATGACAGTATCAAAGTGTCACATGATGAGGTGTACAGTCCCGTTTTGTATTGAGGGGACCCATTCCCAGGACACTGCAGCACTGACACATGCTATTACACCATGCACTCCAAAAACCTTGTTGTGTTCACTGCTGTCAAGCACAACTCTTGCCTCTCCGGCTGTCACCACTCAGGGTCAGACCAATTGCCATATTTGGGGTCAGGAAGGAATTTTACCTTATGGTCAGATTGGTATGGATGGGGGGAGTGTTGCAGGGGGTATGGTCTCTGACTGGGGCCTCTTGAGTGTCTACTGAAAACATTTTTGAGAAGCAGGACAGTGGCTGCCGTGATTCTCCTGCCTTACCTGTGGCAGGTTACAGTGATAGGTCTGTGCTGTGTCAGGGTTCATGGCAGTTTTATGTAGAGTTTAGATTATGATTGTCTGGGCTGGGAGGTCCCTTCCCACCCCACTTCTCTATGACTTTATGGCGCACACACTCTTGCACTACCTGTCAGCTGGGGATGAGTGCAGTGGCTTTATAGTGAACCCTGCCTCTTCAACCCCGACTGTGTTTTCTTCCCGCAGGTCCCCCTACCCCTCATGGCTCGCCGGTCCCAGTGTTCTTCACAGGGGGACAACCCCTTGGACCCCAACTATCTCCCACCTCATTACAAGGAGTATTACCGCCTGGCACTGGATGTGCTGGCTGAGAAAGGGAAGGAAAGTTACCAGCGTTTCCTGACAGAGGAGGGAGCCCCTGACTTCCTCTGCAGCTCAGAGGTGGACCACATCATACACCACCTTCAGAAGCCCCACTATGCCAACCAGGAGAGTAGTGGCACGGATACTGCACCGAGTGGTGACACAGATGGATCTTCTGGGACCTACTGGCCAGTGAACTCTGACCTTGCAGTGCCTGAGCTAGACCTGGGCTGGCCAATGGTCTTCGGGTTCAGGGGGACAGAGGTGACTACCTTGGTGCAGCCACCACCTCCGGACAATCCCAGCATCAAAGAAGAGGCCCGCAGGATGATCCGAGCAGCACAACAGGTGAGTTGGACATGAGCCCAGACCCAGCAAAGCTGCAGCAGTGAGAAGGGAGGAGGTGGTGGAATGCAGCAACCCTTGTTTATGCTAATCTCTGTGACAGTAACTCACATCCAGACCCAGTAGGCTACTCTGCCGCTCAAGAGAATTTAAGGGGGTAGAAACAGCTCCCTGAGAAGAGTGGTGGACCAACAGGGTGGGTGGGGGCAGCTGGCCCTTCAGCGTTCTTATCATGCGACGCGACTTTAAGTATTGCTACGAGAAGGATTTGGGGGGGTGGGTGGGGTGGGGAGCACAAATGCAAGCATTGGCCCCCAGGCGCTGGCAATCCATGATACATCACTGCCTGAGAATCTTCCTGTCCAGAGGCTGACAGCACACACACAGCTGGCGCAGGGCCTCTTCAGCCTTGCCTGCAGTGCCTGGCTCAGGAGGGAGTCAGGGAGCAGTGTACTGGATGTGGCCAGAGCTCACTGCACTACACTGTCCTCTGGTCCCCAGGGCCCATGTGGAACCATGGGAAAGAAAACAGAAGCTAAAGCAGTGCTGAGGCTGCTCTACTTGCACCTAGAGCTGGACAGGGGCCTACAAAGCTCTAAAACACAGGGAGCCCAAACATGGATTAAAGACACCCTCCTCACTCCCAAGCAGAAAGAACACAGGCTGTGCTGCATACTGGGCCACTGTGTTGGCAACAGTAACTTGAAAAGATGTAGAGTTCAGGAGTGGGCAAGAAACTCGGTGGGAACTCCAAGTGTAAGGCTGTATCAAAGGGCCAGGTGGTTGCTGGGTGTACAGCCAGAGGAGCAGCAAGGAGGAGCAGAGGGCTGAGGTTATAGCTGTATACAGCACTGGCCAGGGCTAGAATTCTGCATTCCCATCCTAGTCTCCACCTTCAGATGTTGGGGACAGCACAGAAAAGAGCCACAAGAAATGATTCAGAGACTGAAGAGAGGGTCTTAAAGCGAGAGACTGAAAGAGCTTGTTTAGCCAATCTGAAAGATTAAAGGTGACTTCATCCCAGTGCCTAAGATGCTTTCAGAGGAATGAAAACCAGGTGCTAAAAGGCTCTTGAATCTGATCACAAAAAAACACAGAAGGAGACAGTGACTAGAAGCTGAAGCCAGACAGTCAGATGAGATAGTAAGCTCAGTTTTTAGCAGGGGAAAGATTTAACTATTGGCACAAAGTGTCAGGTGAGGTGATGGCTCGTGTCTAAAATCCAGGCTGGGAGCCTTCCAGGAAGATGCATCTTAGCCAAATAGAAGTTCCTGGACATTGCAGAGATAACTTGCTGCAATGAAACTGCCTGTGATGTGCAAGAGTTTGGACTGATGAAATGAACCTGTCTGGTCTTAAACTGGAGAAGGAAGGGGAAAGGTATGAAGCAGCTTCAACTAAAGAATGTCTTCCAGAAAAGGCATCCAGTATGAATGTAAGGCAGAAAGAGGAGGCACTGCCCCTGGCAGTTTGCCCTCACATTAATCACCCTCAGTTAAAAGTGCTTGTCTGATTTTTTTTTTTTTTTTTTTTTTTT